ACACACACACACACACAGCCTGACTCCATCCTGTCTGTAAGTCAGTCAGCAGATATTTTGAAGTGCAGTCTTTTCAACTTACTTGTCTATCTTTTTATAATAAGTATATGAAAGATTCAGAAGTCACTGACTTCTACTTTATACTCACCAGGATTCATTCAAGCATTCCCCTGTGGACACAGATTCTTCCAAAGAAGGCAGCTACACAGAAGCCAGTTTCTACCAAAGTCAATCCAGTGAACACAATTCAAACAGAAAAGTAAGAACATACCCAAGCAAGCCTGAATCAGTCGAGTTTTGCAAAGTCAAATGGTGTAAAAGTCAACCCTGTTACACTTAGTAGGTCCTGTGTATCTGGAGGCTACAGGCACATACATTGGTCATCACAACAGATTTCTGAGACAATAATCCTGTTACTCAGAGGAATGGCCTGTCCTAAATGGTAGGCATCACGTTGTGATCTCTAATTCTTCCACTCTCACTTAAATTGATTGATTTTTTTTGTTTTAATATTAGCAGCAGCATTCCTGACTATTTTAGTAGTTATTATGATAAGAACTGTACCAGTTAGTCCTTATTGAAAATGGATTTGTTGCCACACACTGTATTGGAAGAGAAAATGTGAGTTGATGATAAATAGTTATCATTCAGTTATCATAAACCTACCGCTATTGTACATCGAACCTTTACGTAGTTTCTGAGCCCGAGATTGCTCATCTTTTTTCCTAAGGAGTTACTGGGATGTTCAAACTATGGGCCTTTCAGTTAGTGACCTCATATGCTAAGCCACCAGGGCTCCAGGAGTCATACTAGATAAAAAAGAATCTTTTAAATCTGTTGTATGTATTCTATTATTATAGTATAGAATGAATATAGCTAATATAATAGATAATAACATGCTATTTTTTTGTTGTGTGCCATTGAGTCAGAACCAACCCATAGGTGACCCTCCAGTGGTTTTCAGAGCCACTTAATCACACAGGAGGAAATTGCCCAACTTTATCTTACAGAACTGCTGGTGGATTTGACCCATATGCCTTTGGGATTGCAGTAGTTTCTTACCAGTAGGTCACCAGAGCTCCCTCATTATATTTCATTATAATATATAATTATACTACATATACTAGTCTAATTCTTATAATAGGTTACAAATATTGCTACTAAAATAATAAAAATATTGCGGAGTTATAGTGGCCTCGTGGGTAGGAATTTGCACAGCCAGCCCCAAGGAGTGCAGTTCGAATTCACCAGCTGCTGCACAGTAGAAAGATGGGCTTTCTTTGCACTTGTTATTTACAGCCTCTGAAAATCCTGCTGGAGCCTCAGCTATTACTCAGTTCTGTCTCAACAGTAATGAGAAAAGAGGAGGGAAAAAAACACAATACAAATTATTAAAACCAGGTCAGTCACCGTGTATTAAGCTCTCACAATGGGCTAAGCCTTTAACATTATCTAAATGAAATCCTCATACATAATCGACAGATATATACAATTATCATCCTAACTTTACTCAGATAAGGAAGCCTTGAATTCATAATGCAGAGAAATGTATGTGATGATTAAGTGTTTTGAAATTACAACAGATAGTAGGAGGAATGAGTAAAAGTAAGGAAAGTAGACAGGAAGGAATGAGCTTTGGAACCATGGAGGCACTCAATAGATATTAACAATGAGTAAATGAATGAATGAACAAACTTAATCTCACTAGCAACCCTACACAGTAGGTAATACAATCCCTGTATTTTAAGTTCAAGTAAAGACAAAAAGACTTAGGCCAGGTGAGGAGCTGGGATTTGAATTTGATAACCTGATCCCATATCCTTGTATTTTACCAAATTGCATTCAGTGAAGGAATTCCTATCCTTTGACTCAAGGTAGAGTTAAACACGTTCTGTCTAGGTCAAATTCTGTTACTCCATATTCTCGAGCCACGTTCACATGTCCATATTCTTGTGGAATCTTCATGAACTGGTGATACTGATTACCGTGAACGGGTCACCTACCTAGGCTGGGCTCTCAGTCAACAAACAGCTGTTAAGCATCTAATTTCCAAAGAGTAATATGCTTCTTTTCCAATCTGGAAAGTACTTCATCTACTTGGAGACAGTGGTATTCTGCCTAAACTTTCAGGAAAGTGTTGTCACACTGGAGAAATCAGATTCATGGAAAGTCTTCCACTGTTTGACTTAGGTGTGTCGAATGTGTAGTGTGAGATGCCCAGAGCACAGCTGTTAAAGAAGAATAGGAACTGAACTTAATAGAATCACTCAGAGAGAGGTTGTGTTCTAGCTACTTTAGAAGGCAGTAAACATTGAATTGCCCATTTTTTAAATAAATTGTGGATTATCCTGTGATTTGTTTCCAGTATCTTAGATATCTACATCCTGTTCTAGGAGCTCTAGTAGCCTTGTGGCTAAGGAGCTACATTATCAACCCAAAGACAAGCAGTTTGAATCCACCAACTGCTGTGAGGTAGAAAAATAGACAATCTCCTGTGTGATTTAGGGACTCTGAAAACCTTCCAGAAGATCAGCTATGGGTAGGTTCCAACTTAGCAGCAATTTGTTGGCTTTGTTTGACACCTTATTGAAAGTGCTTTTCAAAACTTAGAGAAAGCAACTTGAAACACTTAAATTTTCTTAATTAACTCCTGAAGAATTCAAACCTAATTTGTGTGGGTCAGCGGGCAAAATTCCACAGATGAAAACATCAATATTTTGTTGTGTGCTGTCAAGTTGATTCCAAATCTTGGTGATCATACTGAACTTGGTGGTCATAGGGTAGAACTTTCCTGTGGGACTTTCTAGTAATTTTCATGGAAGTTGTTCATGATTTTTTTTTTCAACTCCAGTGGAGTCAACCGGTAAGTTCAAATCATTGATCAGGTTAAGGCGAGAGTGATTAATTTTTGTGCTGCCCAAAGTTTACACACACACACACACACACACACACACACACACACACACACACACTATTGTTGTTAGTTGTGATTAAATCAATTGTGATTACCTGTGTAGAGTCAAACTTCCCACAGGGCTTCTAATACTGGCTTCTAATAGCTAGCCCCCTATTCTTGAAGTATCTCTGAATGTGTTTGACCTGCCAACGTTTTCACAACTAGATAAACACGCAACTGTTTTTGCCATTTTTCCTTTTGCAGTGTTAGTTTGTGTTGTTGTTAAACAAACAACAAAACCAAAACAATTTATTTAATAAGAATCTATTTCAAAAAGCAAGAAAAATTAATAAAATGTGTTATAACCATTGTGATTGTTGTTACATGTGCTTTTGTGTTGTGCGGACCAAACATTAGGCTTAATTCCTTGATTGAGTTGTTTTTCAGCTTTCCATGTTCCAGTAAAACTCATGAACAATTTAGTCTTTATTTTTTAGACTTTTAGCCTATGATTGCTGCAGATGTGTGCTTTTGTGTGATGGGAACCCACCATCCACAAACTCCTCTCACACTTAGGAGATGACATCTCATTTTAATATCTATGTCCTCCTCCTGGAGTTTTGAACAGTTTCTCTTGAAGGGAGTCTTTTGAGAGTTTATTAAAATATTTTTGGGAAGCAAGTGAGAGAATTTCAATGAGCAAGAAAGGAAGAGCTAATCTTTTTCTTTTCTTAAGGAAAGCTGTGGGAACTCATGAGGAGATGCATTACAAACTCAGGTCTGTCGGACATGTACCATCCCAGAGACTATTAGACAGCCCTGGGTTACAGATTCCACAGTGTTCAGAGTCACCCCAAACCTTCTTTATTCCAGATGCAGAAAGGTGATCTTTCACTACTCTAGGACTCTGTAGAGGAGTCTCAAGGACCTCCTCAGAACTTAAACTGGTGCAGTGTGTGGAGACCACCGCAGACACTCTGGCAAACCCTGGTTTCCAAAGTGGGCTTCAAGGCACGCCTAGAAATCCCAGTGGAAGATGCGTAGTTTCCATGGCACCAGAGATGCTCCCCAAGCATCCTCAGCTCCACAGGGAAAGGGGGCCCAGGGCAGATGCCTCCCTTCAGGGCAATCTGGCAGGAGAGCCCATTCCTCAGCTTGCCTGCGCTTCCACGCATCCTTTCTCGGAGAGGTTAATAAAGGATTTCTCCTCTCCTCCCTCCAGCCCACCCCGGGCGTTTCCATAAGGCTTGTTCACAGACCCCTCCCTGGCCGGGGTGAATGCTCACTTGCATTGACCCGCTGGGAGGAATTGTTTTGCGAGTGCTGCCCATCCTCAAATCAATGCCTGTGCAGGACAACAGAAAGGGCCTCAGATGGACTGGTTTCCACAGGACTATTGTGAGGCTTTTGTGAACCATTTTTGAACCTAATAAATAATGTCAAAAGTCTCTAACGCCGCCAAAAATGTTCCTTTTGAACCATTTCTAATAGTATTTTTGTTCCCTGGTGTATCCCAGTGTTAGAAAGATTTTGCGCCCGACAATAGGGATGGGGCACTTCGCGTGCCACTTTGCAATGTGCCGCCTGGGCGCAGGAGGACCTCTCTTTGTTTTGCTATCGCAGGTAAGCGGTTTCGCTTGCCAACGGGGCTTTGGTTTAAGGATGTTTTCTAAGGGCCTTTAGAATTTCTAAACACCGGTTTGGAAAATATAATTGAATGTTGGTAACTTAATCGTTAACATGAAATTGGATGACTCCTGTGTGCTTAAGGGCATTCTTCAGGCTATATGAAGGTTTTCATGTCGGAAACCTGAGCCTAGACCCTAGCCAGGGGCCCTGCAACACTTGGAAATAAGTTTACTGTCAAAGAGATGATGAACTTTCTGATTCTTGGTAGAAAATACTGGAGCAGCTTAGGGAAATTGTTATTAAACTGGTATTTTAGTCAGTGGCCTTGGTTCTAGTCATTATACAACAGATGTTGATGAAGATACTATGGAAAGGCCACTTCCAGTGATTTTTATGGTTAGGTTTTTCCCCCTCCCGATTAATGTATTATTTGTTTGACTTAAAAAATACAAGCCAGTGTGACTATACACTGCATGGTGTGCCATACAACATGCTTAGTTTCTAATCAATCAAGTCCCTTACAATTTTCTCACTGGCATGCATTCACACGGTTTGGCACATAGAGATACCGATAATTTCATCCAATAAGAGTGAAATAATCTATCCAATAACTGCTTACGACTCAGAAGTCTGTGTAGTCCTATGAAAACTGTGTAGTTTATTTGATTATTATTACTCTAATAGCACTTATGTTCAAAAGTATTGCTTAATATCCAGTGTTCCAGATTAATATGATGTAGTTATAAACATATGCTTATTATATTTACTAATATGGCATTAGCAAAATCCTCTTGAAGATTATCTATAAAAGACTTGAACAGTACATTGACTGAGCACTACCAGAAATACAAGCTGTGTTTAGAAGGGGTCGTGGTACTAAGGACATTATTGCCAATGTCGGATGGATCTTGGCAGAGAGGAGAGAGTACCAGAAGAATGTCTATCTGTGTTTCACTGACTATGCAAAGACAATTTTGTGGATCACAATAAATTGTGGCTAACCTTGGGAAAAATGGGAATTTCAGAACATTTGATTGTGTTTATGCGAAACCTATACTTAGACCAAGACACAGTCCTCAGAACAGAGCAAGCAAACACTGCATGGTTCAAAATCAGGAAAGGAGTGTGACAGGAATGCATCCTGTCCCTGTACCTTTTCAATCTGTATGCAGAACAGATCATTCAGGAGGCAGGGCTTTATGAAGAAGGGTGTGGCATCAGGTTTGGAGGAAGACTCCTTTATAACCTGCGTTATTCAGATGATACAGTCTTGCTTGCTGAAAGTGAAGAGGGCCTGAGGCGCTTGCTGCAAAAGGTCAATGACTGTAGTCTTCGATATGGATTGAAGCTCAACATCAAGAAGACAAAGATTCTCACCACTGGGGCAATTGGCAGCACCATGATAGATGGAGAAGTGATTGAGGTTTTCAGCAATTATAGCTTGCTTGGCTCCACAATCAACACCCTTAACATCAGCAGTCAGGAAATCAAAAGACAAATTACATTGGGGAAATCTGCTATCATGGACCTCTCCAGAGTGCTGAAGAGCCATGATGCCAGTCTAGATTCAAAGATGTGCCTAATATAGGCCATGGTCTTCTCAGTTACTTGTTATGCTTCAGAGAGTTAGACAATAACTAAGAATGACAGATGAAGAATAGATGCCTTTGAGTTGTGGTGCTGAAGAAGAGTCTTGAACATTCCACTGAATGCCAAGAAAACAAATTGGTCTGTCTAGGAGAGAGTGAAACCAAGTCTCTCCTAGGAGGATTTTGAAGCTCCACCTCACTTACTTTGGGCACGTGGCTAGGAGAGGTCTGTCCTTGGAGAAGGACATCATACTTGGAAGAGTGGACGGACAGTGCAAGAGAGGAAGACCCAGGATGAGATGGCTTGATACATTAACTGGGGCAATGGGGGTTGGTTTGTCAGAATTAGTGAGACTGGCTCAGGACAGAGAAGGATTCAGAGCTGCTGCACATAAGGTCACTAAGAGTCGCAGGTGACCCGATGGCACATAATAATAACAACAATGTTGACACTATCTCCAAGATTATTTTTGACTCATAGCAACCTTCTATTAGTTTTCTGGGGCTGTAAATCTTTTGGGGAGGAGAGTACTCATATTTTTTTCCCCATAAAAGCAATTGATGGGATGGAATCACTCAATTTCTGGTTAGTAATGTAACATGTACCATATATCACCACACCATTAGAGTGTTTTCTTATAGTAAAGTCATGTTGTTGTTGTTGTTTATTGCCTTTGAGTAGAGCACTATTCATAGTGACCCTGTGAACAAAAGCCCTGAAGCCCCTCTACAACTATCAACCTTTATCAAAGTTCATAGAGTTTCTGGAAGCATGTTTGTCTAGGAAGTGGATGCTACTCCTGCTTTGAACCTGTCATAGAATGTTATTGTTATGTGATTATGTGAAACCTCTATCCTTCTGAGCAGGATGTCCTTCTCCAAAGATTGGAGAAAATCCTTGCCTCAAGGAGAAACTTGGTTTTACCTTCTCCAAGACAGACCTATTTGTTTCCTTGGCAGTTCATGGTATGTTCAAGACTCATCTCCAGAACCGCAACTCAAAGGCATCAATTCTTCTTTTCCATTGTTTAGCACTCTGATGTATAGCAAACAATTGCAAAGACTACGGCCTGGATCAGGCACACATTAGTCTCAGGACTGATATCATTGCTTTTAAGTACTCTAGAGAGGTTCCTGACAGCAGATTTATCTAATGCAAATAGACCTTTGATTTCCCAGCTGCTGATGCCAAGAGTGATGATTGCGGAGCCGAGCAAGCTGTAACTGTTAACAGCCTCAATCTCTTCTCCATCCATCATAGTGTTGCCAATTGGTCCAGTGGTGAGAATCTTTTTTTTTTTTTTATATTGAACTTCAGTCCATAGTGGAGACTATATTCCTTGACCTTCTGCAGCAAGCACTTCAGGTCCTCCTCATTTTCAGCAAACAAGGTTGTGTCATCTGTATAACACAGGTTGTTTACGAGTCTTCTAATTCTGATGTCACATTATTCCTCATAAAGTCTGGCCTCCCGAATGATCTGTTCTGCATATAGATTGAAAAGTTATGGAGACAGGATGCATCCCTGACACACTCCTTTCCTCATTGGAACTCTGAGTGTTTCCTGGCTCTGTTTTGAGGACTGCTTCCTGGTCTAAGGTTAACGTTTGCATAATCCACATAACAGTCATAACTTTAGCTTCATTACATTAGTTAGAGAGAAGTACTATGCAGGCAAACTCATGATTTTTATATATAATATGGGTTATGGGATATTTTCACTTGATTTTGGCCAACTAACTGGAACATACCCATATTTGTTCACCTTCTCCAAAACAAGATGAGCTAACAGAATGTGGAGCTTATTCAATAATATCATTAATATAACCTGCAAGTGAAATCTAGGTGAGGGTTACTAAAAATAAATAAATGAATGAATGAATGAATGAATGAACAGTACATTGTCCAGAACTGTCAAAAATTCAAGTGGATCCAGAAGAGACTGTGGTCTGAGAGATTTAATTTCTAAGGTCAGATGGATCTTGTCTGAAAGCAAGAAATAACAGGAAGATTTGTGCGTATTTTATTGATCATGAAAGGATGTTTGACTGTGTGGATTATAACAGATGGTAGATATCATTGAGATAATGAGAACTCAAGAACACTTAACTGTGCTCATGGGAAATGAGTAACTAGACCAAGAAGCATCTGTCCATGGAATACTGCACGGTTTAAAATCAGGAAAGGTATATGACAGAGTGGTGTCCTTTCTCCTCATACCTACTCAGAGTTCTGAGCAGACCATTTGAGAACCCGGGCTAGCTATATAAAGAAGAACGTGGCATCAAGATTACAGGAAGACTTATCAACAATTTGTGCTATGCAGATGACACAACCTTGCTTGCTAAAAGTGAAGAGGACTTAAACAGTTTCTGAAGGAGATAAAAGAATATAGCCTTCCCTATGGATTGCATCTGAACATCAAGAAAATATTGTTGGGTAATATCCATATTCTGTTGGATCACCTTCCTTGGGAATAGGAACAAATATGGATACCTTTGAATAGTTGCCTACAGAACTGTCCTCCAAATTTTCTGGCATAGGTGGGTAAGTATGTCTAAGGCCTCATCTATTAGTTGATACATGTCAATTTGTATCCTATTGAAGCCTGGGGCCCATTTTTTTGACAATGTCTTCAATACAGATTTAGCTTCTTCATTCATTACCATTGGCCTTTGATGATATGGTACTTCCTGAAATAATTCAGTATTGGTCAATTCTTTTTAGTGATTCTATGTATTCCTTTCATCTTCTTTGGATGCTTCATTGCCCTTAACGTCTTTAAATATTTCCGCTCAAGGCTTGAGTTTGATTTTCAGTTCTTTCAGCTTGAGAAACGCTGAGTGATTCTTTCCCTTTTATTCTCCAATTCCACCTCTCTGCACATTCTGTTCTAATACTTTGTCTTCTTGAGCTGCTCTTTGAAATCTTTTGTAAAGCTCTTTTTCTTCAGCATGTCTTTCTTTTGTCCCAATGAGAACCAAAATATGATCTCAAGTCAATCCTACATGAATTTAAAAATCATC